CACACACACACACACACACACACACACACACACCAGACCTGCTCAGCTCTCCTGGGAAAGGCGCTGCGTCTGAGCAGGCCTCTGTGACTCACTCTAGCAAAAATAAACTGGGCAGCTGTGAGAACAAGGCCTGGGAACCATGAAATTTGGGGGTAGTGAAGGGGGTGGGATCTCCAGTCGTATGTGGAGCTGAGGGGACGATCACGGGCTCACACTGGTGGGCAGGGGGGAACACAGAGTGACAAGAGCTGAGGCAAAGGGTGGGAGGCTGACTCCATTCTCACAGCAGCAACAGCATCAACTCCAGGGCAGAGGACACTCTGGGGCGTGCCTGCCCCTGCCTGCTGTGTTTTCCTATTACGAGCCAGGGGGGTTATGATCAGCTGGAGACAGATCATACCTGGAGATTGTAAAAAATTGCCATCGGTTTGTCTCAATATTTATATCTGATGTGATTCGGAGAGAATGCTACAGGCTAGAAAATTTATGAGTGCATATTACTACATATCAATACCATCAAAAGCTGCCTCCCAGTGCCACAGGAGAATGCAGAGATTAATTTGAGCGTCAGTATGGGGGTGCACCTCGTGCCCGAGGTCCTCCTCACTTTGTGTCATCTTGTGCTCGACCTGAACCCTGGCTAACCTCGCTGTGATGTAAACTGGCCCCGCTCTCCAGCTCACCAGCAGAGCGTAAACAGAGGTTGTGGAGAAACACAGAGCGAGGACTCGGCTGAAATCCTTGTCTACTGATGTAATCTCTAATCTCAGACCCATGTTGTTCTCAGCAAATCAGCCCTGGAGGTCTCCCATCAGACCTTTTCTGTTTTATTTGACTTTTTTTCTTTTAAGAAACAATTGGCTATAGATTCTCTCTGGCCAATGAGAGTTGAATTTAGCTAAGCAGCAGACTGACACTGGGTTATGTTGACTTTGTTGTTATATATACCAAAGACTTTAAACAAAGTCCAGTTTTATGTCATTTGAGTGTGAAGCGGCGGATTCCGATAGTACCGCCAGTCATCTTTTGCCTATTCAAAGGGTATATAAAAACATAGGAGCTTGCCAGAACTGACAGAATTTTTTATTAACATGTAAAGAAAAAACATGGGTCAGTTTACCAGTAAGTATAAAATATATTATTACTCCTTTTATCCTAAGATCAAACAACGCAGGGCATTTGTCAGCTAGGTTTGAGCACTAAGTGGTTCTTACATAATGACTGAGAACAAATGGGAGGGAAGATGTGGCTGTTTAAACAGAACTGTAACTATAAATAACTGTATAAGAATATCAATTTAAAACACTCTGAATGTGAGCCTGGTGATAATATACTGGCAAGTCTTAGTTTGAGAGAGAAATACTTATTTTTAGTTAAGTCGCAAATACTTATGTGTTGTTTAAATAGATTTAAACAAATCTTTACATATGCAATTCTTGGTTGATGATTTAGCTTATTTCTTTTGTGCAATTTTCTCATTTGAATGTTATGCATCCTAGAAGAATCAATATGCATTATCTCTTTTGCAGGGTGAAAAAACACTGAACGTTATGAACCAGTCACTGTCTTTGGTGGTTGGCGAATCATCAAATGTGACTTTAAATGCGTTACAACAATTTAAAGAACCTAAACCCCAGTGACATTGCTTTTTGAATGACTGATAAACAGTTATATTGTGTTTTAATTTAAATCCACATTACTCTGAGCCTAGTCTAAGTTGCTGCTGATGAAAGATTACAAATATTCAAATAATCTTTATATATCTGTGTATTTCACCTCATTTGAATGACGCATCTTACATTACAGCAGTGAATTTATGGTTATATTATGTCAGAAAACATAACAACGTTGAGTGCCAGTAAAAACATGCATGATAAAACGATATGTTCTCTCCTAAATCTCCCTGACTCTTGACTGTTTTTATAGAACAAGTTTGATTGATTATCCATCACAGCTCGACTCTATCCTGTATAAATGATGCTTGGCATGAGTCAATGTGATGAGCTTCACTGTTGCCCTGTCATTTCCTGTTGGGGCGCGTCTACGTCACTACGACCCCCCCTTTTCCACTGCTGCCTGCCTCAGTAAAGACTTACGAAAGCATAATAAAAACTTCTTGCCGATATTCAAATAAAACAACGGAAGGCATGCAGATAAGACAAGAGAAAGACAGGGAGAGCACCTGATTTGAAATTACCCCTGCAGATGGAGGGGGTCTCCACATCAAGGCAGGCCATGGAGGACAGTGCTGGTTTGCTTGGCGGCCAGGTCTGGAGTCCCATGGAGTGATGAGGCTAGTGAAGAAGGGGGAGAGTCAGGGAGAGAGAAGACGCAGCTCTGAGCGAACGACAGCTGGCTCGCAGAGCTGCACGCAGTCCCTCCTCTCTGGCTCTGTGCTGGCCTCTGAGGAGAAAGCGTGTGTGTGTGTGTGAGAGTGTGCGTGAGTGCTCAGCCAGCGTCAGGAGGAGGGAACACAGTGCTGCTCATGTTAACCCTCTCTAGGTCACTTTGTTCTCCTCACAGAGGACTCATCATACTACAAGAAGAAACCCTGGGGAACTTTTGCTTACTTTGTGAATATCTCATAATAATCAAATTCACTCAGCAGGGGCCCAAATATCCAATACATCGATAAAAAACAAGCTGAGGGGATTTTCAGTGGGCACGTCTCCATGAGAAACAGCATGAGTGGGGGTTATTTCTCAATACATTTTTGTAACAGTAAATAACAATGACAGGAGCAAACACATGGGTCCTCGGGGACATGGAGGCTTATCTCTTAACATTTTTTTTTTTTTCAGGATAAGTTATGAATTTGTAGTTATTATTGTTACCTCCACCAAGGAGGTTATGTTTTCACCACTGTCTTTTTGTATGTTTGTTGATTGTTTTTTTTGGTTGGTTTGTAAGCAAGATTACAAATTAACAAATCAATGGATTTCCACGAAACTTGGAAGGAGGATGTGGAATGGGTAAGGGTTGAACTTATTACATTTTGGTGAGGTTCCAGATCAGGGAACAGTAATCTGTACATTGCAAAAGAGTTTTTCAACATTGTCACCGTTTTCCAAGGAAATCATCAGGAACATTTAGGAAACAGCTTGATTGAATATAAGGGGACACCTGAGGATTTGCAGAGGACATTTTAGTTTCCATTGTTGCTTTACAACACCATTCATTTAGGGCTAGTCATAGTTGTTGTATTAATCCAGTGTGACAATGAAAACATTTTTTATAGTAAAAATTCTAGGAGGGGACAAAAATATATAGCGGATTATCCCAAAAAAAACCCATCTAGTCGTGGTTTATGGTGTAACATGGCATTCCTGGTTCAAAACGCACAAACAGGAAATGAGATAACAGGGAATGACACTAATTGTGCTGATGTGTCTCAGTAGGTCCAGGAAGGCGGGTTTAAAAATATGTCAAAGCTAAAGAGCGCGGGCATTATTTCCCACTGAGGATCTGATGTGAAAGTGAAGCCGCAGAGACACAGGGTGCGTTCAGTCCTCCTGGCTGTTTCCGTGATGTGCCTGAACAGGACAACACATAATGGGGAGGACTGCACCACTGTGTTTTGGATTATTGGGATTTCACTGGTGGGATCAAGAAATATGCAAGTCAAACAGCATCAGACAGGGGGAAACATGCAGCCGGTAAAGCAAATGGGACTAGTACAGTCAGGCGCAATATGTTATGACGGCTCACCGCTGGGACGGAATAATGGTGAACAAGAGCATAAAAAATACGAGCAGAGCAGTCGGAATGTGGGAAAACATCTTTCGTCGTGTCACACGTCTGTAAATACACAGAATTCCTCTAGAGTTCAGGTTTCATAAGTTCACTGGACACGGAAATAAAACAGGAATTTTATGAATACCTCACACACCTGTTTTGTCCCATAGTCAAAACGTCTCTCCTGCATCATTCTGCTCTGGTCTCTCAAATTCACATTCTAGAACAATGCTGTTTCTCCTCATCTGCAACAATTTAAAGTTTGATCGCCAGTATTACACCTCAAGGTAGCTTCTATTGATTCAAGATGTTTTCCATTCACATAAACTATCGACACTATATTCAAATTATCACTGAGCTACAGTTTAGAGCACATTGTTTTATCACAGCAACAATTTACCTGCATTGACTGTTATTAAAAGCCGTTTTAGCTGATGATTATCACTATCATTACATTATTACATCCATGTGCTTACCACTGGCTATTTGTTTTCACTATGACAAATTTATAATCACTCATTTAGAATAGAGTGAAAACATGTGAGTTTGCAGCTGCAGGCACGAAGGAGTATTTGATCACAAAACAGGTTTTTGTGGAAGAAAGATTCAATTTGGTGGATGTATGAGAAAGTCTATTGTACTTTGGTCTATTTGATCTAGAGAGAGAAAAAAACAGATGTAGGTTTTTGCCTTTTAGTTTTCGTGCGGATAATATTCATAACTAACTTCAAACAAACACAGAGGTTTAACATGAGGACACGTGAACCAACAGGTAACTGATTCAATCTGTGACTGTCCCATTCTTGCTTCTTATGAGCATTTTTATTGTAACTGGTTTCCCAAAGATAAAACAGACATATGTGATATTGTGTCAAAATCTAGTTGCTATACATTTCATTTAAATTTTGATGAGCAAGATACATGGAATAGGCTTTATCAGATCGTAGTTAAGCTTTTAACTGTGACTAATAATCACATCCACTTCATAAAGTACTGTGGCTGGTCCATTTGCTTCCACACTGCATAAAGTAGGGACCACACAACTGAAGCCCACCTGCATTTTTAAGGAGTTTTGGTTATTCACTCCACAGTTTGATTATAGGACTTTGGTTTGGTTTAATTCTGTCATAAAACAAGCTACGTACCAAAAACTTTTTTTTTTTAAATAGTATTTGTGCATATGGGACTAAGCACCTAGAAAATAAGATTCAGTGCCACAGATCTTTAAGTTAAAACTGGGAAAAACAATGCTTCATAGGTGCTATCTAATTTTATATAAGTTATGACATTATACTGTACTTAGTTTATGAGTTGCTCAAAATATCAGTGCTGCTCTCCCTACATTTGTTTTAAATCTTACTTACAGTGTGATTTATTTCTTTGACCCCCTGAAATATAAAGAATTTTTATCATCCTCCTGTGCACCTTCATATACATTAACTTGACATCATTTTCAAGACCTTACTAGTTACTATTATGAACTTACCGCGTACCCCTCACATTTGCATCTTAGTACAATTTTAAGTTTCTGTTGGAGAAAACCAACACAGACATGGGGGAGAATATGCAAACTCCACATAAGAAGCACGGACCGAATTCAAGCTAAGAACTTTCTTATCGTGACAGACCTTACCACTTCACCACTGTGCCACACAAACCAAATCCACCCTTCCAAGGAAAGACTTTTATGTTTTCCCACAGTTGCATTGATCTTAAATGGTAAATGTAAAGTTTGTCTCACCAAACTCCTCTGCTGAATTATGCTTAATGGAAGGTTAACACATGGAAACTTGAAATGTATTAACAGAGAGTGAACAGAAACCATTCCTTCACATTGCAGCAACTCCTGTATTCTAGTGTATGAGCCTGTCTTGTGTTTATCGACAGTGGGATGAGTCATTTCAGAAGAAACCAGAAAACCCCAGATGACTTTCTGTGAGTAGGAGCTGCAGATTCCCCAGGCTATTCTCATCTTGACCATTACTACAGTGTCACGATGTTTAACCAGGAGCAGGTTTTGGCAATGGCTCCTTCAATGATGAGACGGTAGAATTTGAATAAATGTCTGGTAGTTATTAAGATGTGAAGTAGAATACATGAATTGCCGTTAAGTAGTAGAAACCTGGGCACACTGGATGTGGAACAGCATCGGAACGGCCCAGTTTTCATTCCCCTGCCGATGACCTGGCACACCGGCTGCTGCTGCGACGCTGCTCAGCCACGGTTCAGCTGCAGATGTTGTGTTGCTCTTCTAGCAATGAATGGATTTTTGAAAACCGGTACAGAAAATGTGGCGAATGATCATTTCCACAGTTGATTCTGCTGAGAACAGCGCACAGAACACAGGAAAAACTGCACTGCATCTGCGGCTGAAACACGGCAGAGGAGTTCTGCAGCAGCAGCAGCCAGTGTGCCAGGTCTAATCTGTTGGACGACATGGGCGCGCAAAGGAAAACCACGTCCAGTGTGCCCTGGCTGTAGGAATCTGGAAAGGGGCTGAGATGTTGGTGTCCATGCAGCGCAGTGTTGTTGGTAATGGCAATTTGTAACATGAGCCTTGAATCTGAGCCAGGAAGGATGCCAGCAGCTCAATATTCTGCTTCCCGCTGCTTCATGTTTTCACATGTCATGTACTAAAACTTACATTATATAAGTTCTACTACACATCATCAAGGCCATTGCACACTGATGAGGATTTAAGGCTGGTTTTCCCATTTGTTTCACTAATGTTATACTTTAGCCTAACTACTGCTATTTTCTTTATTGCTCTACATCATTATGCAACCAAGACCGCAGCATTTCCTCTTTGACACACAGCAGCTAGTACTGTTTAGTTTCATTTTTTCTTTTTTCTCCTCAAACCACTGTAAAAAGAAAAGCAAAGAAAACAAAAAACAAACCCTTTCCTTCAACAGAAACCCATCGCTAAATGAAGTTTAGGAATTTATAGTATTGAGCCAGACTGTCCAAATTGGCCAAACTTAAAAAACTAACTAACTAACTAACTAACTAAAATATTCTTGATACTTTACATTTCATGTGGACAAAACATTGTCACTTCTGGCCATGTGGTAGTTTTTCCATATAAATATGAAGAAGTCAAATATATATTAGTGATTCAATAATAATTATTAATAAAGTTAAAGTTACTCTATTTTTAAAAAATCGTCTTCTCTAATAAACTATTTATCAGTGATTGAATCTTTTCCATTTGTTCTTTGCTTTAGGGCATCAGTAAGTAAGAACAGATTTTCTTTCTTTGCATGCTCAGCTGAATTTAACTATTAGTTTAAATGCCCAACTTGCTAATGGAGTCTTTGATCAATTGATTAAGCTTTTTTCTATAATAGCTAAATTAATTATGAAAAAATTCAGATCAAAGCTTCCCAGAAAAATTGTCTTATTTTATCAGAACAAAAGTCAGAAACCAAAACTAGTCATACTGAATGACAAGGAGAAGTATCAAATCCTCTAATTTAGGAAAAAAGGAACCGGAAAATAAATTGCATATTGTCCTATACTTGTCCTAATTTATTTTAAAAAGTATAGTAACCGAGAT